GTGACTAATAATTTTTTTTGGGGGGGCGGGCAAAAAATAATTTTGGGGGGCATTTGCCCCCCCCCCCCCTTGCCCCCCACCTGGCGCCGCCACTGTATTCATTGCAATTTTACTCAACCCTTTCGTTGTCATCAATATATTACACTGTACAATAATATATTACTTCATTTAGGTTGCGACTATACCAGCTCGTTTTTTGGGAAGGGCAAAGCGAAGGCCCTTAAACTAGCTCGATCAAACGAACATTTTCTGCAGGAGTTTTTAGAGTTGGGATCCACGGAAGAGGCTGATCATTAAGCTGTCACCACACTTGACAAGTTTACGTGTTCTCTCTTTGGTGATTCGAAAGCTCAGACTGTGAATGACGCGCGTTATAACTTATTCACACAAGGAAAATTTGGTGAAGATTGTTTGCTTCCCAGTAAAGATGCCCTTGCTTTGCATATCGACCGCTGTAACTACGTCTCATTCATCTGGCGCCGTTGTCTGAATAAAGAGATCGGAGCTCCTGACTTTAGGAATCATGGTTGGGAAGTGGACGAAAGTGGCAAAGTTAGCGTGAAATGGTTATCTGGTCTACCCGCGATGGACAACATTCTGGAATCCTCCAGCTGCAAGTGCAAAACCGGTTGTAAGACTAAACGATGTGGTTGCAAGAAAGAAGACATGGAATGCACAGTGCTGTGCTTCTGCTTTGATTGCCAAAATCAGAAATAGAGGTATAAATCTGCCTGCCTTTGATACGCATACTGGAACGCCCAATTAAAGGTACTATTACGACAGAAACATTTTACGCCTTTCCCCCAAGAAACAGTCTCTCTACAGGAGATTTACTGTCCGAAAAATGAAGTTGCTACAGTTAACTATTTGCAGATCAAACATTGACTAAAAATGCTTACTCAGCATTCTTCCAAAACTTTGGTCGGCAATATTTCAGCAGCAATTGACCGTACGTGATTATCGTAATATAGTTTTTTTGAACACATGCGATGCTCTATTTGGCAGTATTGTCAAATTTTTGAATTTCCAAAATTTTTCGTTTTCTCATCTATGGATGACGTCATACATAGATAAAAGCAATTTTCTTGAGACTTACATGTTTGCCGAAGTACAACATTGGTGTTTTACCATGGAAATGGATCCACTCAACATATAATGAAATCAAAATATGGTCTCCGTGGGGAGGAAACGAAAGTTGCTTTCCAGCTTCATTCTCGTGAGTGGCTGACAGCCTATTAGTGCTTATGTCACAAAATTTTTTTGACAATTGAGTAGAGGACAAAAAGTTAGTTAATTTAATAGGTTCTTTAACATTTTTCGGTTTTCTCTTTTCACTCGCGAGATATGCGACTCTAAACCTTGAAACATTGGCTTTTAGCGAAAAATTGTTGCGCCCGAGAAAAAATAGGTACGCTAGGCGTACATGTATCTGCGCAAAAGAATTCCATGGTTGCAATGAAAAAAATTTCATTCACAATAATTGAGTAAACATTTAAATTTTGAAGTGACTATACTGCCAGCAGCCAGCTATTTAGTAAACTGCCGGCTATATAGTGACTAAGAAAAAATGCTAAGTCAAACAAAACACAACCCGACCCAGATTGTGTTTCACTTTCAGCACACAGTGCCTATACCATATACTGTAACGGCACGCTTGGTGAAAGCTAGCGCAAACAAAAGTTTTATATATTGAACTATAGTCACTATATAGCCGGCAGTTTACTAAATACTCAAATACCCAGCTGCCGGCTGTATAGTCACTTTGTTTCAATTTGATGATATGACAAAAAATGTTCAGATAGCAGTCTCTTCCCTACTGCAATCAACTGTCAGAAAGCCAGAATTGATGTTTATAATAAAAAGAGAATAAGAGTTATATATGAAATGGGTACAATGGGCAGGGCATTTTTTAAGAATTCGTAAGTGGGGGGGGCATCTACAAAAAGGGACCATACTATACCGAGTGTGGAGCAATGATAGATGGTTTGTTGGTAACAAAAAGTTTGGTGTGGTATCGCATTTAATAGTAGGGGGGGAGAGCAGGCCGTAGGAAGCTCTTTTCGTTTGGGGGTGAGGGGGTGAAAGCGAGGGCCGAAGGCCCGAGGAAATTTTTAAATTTAGAGTCTCTGAAATGCCATTTCCTGGACTTTGGGGAAGATTTGACAGATTTCGGATTGTCAGAAAACAGCGTTTTTAGTATGTGGAAATTTAGAATTCAGTAGTACTAAATGGACGAAGGTGTATTTAATTAACGATATATTGGATAAGTTGCAGGAAAGTATGGGTAATATCTTCATTCTTTGCAGTTTGTCATGGATTATTTAATAAAGGTCTGCATGATTTTGAAAAATGAATGATTTATTACTAAATTATTGGGGGGCTGCAGCCCC